CAATGATTTCAAGAGAACGATATTGTAATTGTTGATCGTGGATATCGAGATGCTACTGTATTATTAAATCGTTTGGGCATTTCTTGGAAGATGACAGCACATCTCGAACGTGGCGAACATCAACTTAACACTGAAAATGCTAATGCTTCGCGTTTAGTTACGAAATCGAGGTGGGTAGTAGAAGCTAGAAATGGACATATTAAATCAATCTTTAAATTCTTTGATCAAGTCGTACAAATCCAACATGTTTCACATATAGGAGACTTTTACCAGATAGCTGGTGCAATAATTAATAAATATCACCCTTCTTTAACAGTGGAAGATGCTAATATTGAATTAGCTCAACGATTACTTAAAAAGGCAAAGGAACCAAACGTTCTTCAAGCACTTGTAGAAATAGAAAATCTTCACAGGCGAAACGCTCAAAGATGGATTTGTTTAGATGCAGCACACTTAGATGATTTCCCAATTTTAACAATTGACCATTTGAGGGATCTCACTTTTGGTACGTATCAAATAAAACTATCTCCTTCATATGTGCAAGATAAGTTACGTAGAGATAATGATGAAGAATACCAAATTGAGATGTTACAAGAAGACCGACTACCTTGGCCAGATTTGATGAGAGTTAGAGTATATTCTAGATTTCGTAACATGACAAAACATCAACTTTGGATAGCATATAGATCAATTCTCGAAGAAAGAGAAAATGACCAAGTGGAAGAGGAGGATAATCCGATAGAAGATCATTATTGTACTTGCAAATCTGGCGCTCGGACTGTCGACACCTGTGCACATATTGCCAGTGTCATATGGTACATAGGATATGCAAGACATCAGGAAAATATTCACTATCCTTCTGCAAGACTCATTCAGAATGTGCAAGATGCTGGAAATCGTCCACAAGAATAGTATAACCGAAGACAAAATCCCATCATATCCAGGATATCGATTGCATCACCTCTTGTAGGAACTCATTGATGGTTTGACACACAACACTCGGTCTTGCCTTAGCTGGCTGGTCCGCATGTTCAATATTTATTTATTACATATATATATATATATATATAAATCGATTTTTATTTATTTCGTGAATAAATATCAATGTATCACTTATACTTATAACATACGTCTTACTACT